TCTTTTGGTTTGTGTAGCTGCTGTGAGCGCAAGCGCTTACTGGAACAGCGAGTGACCACTGTCCAAAGTGGCATGTGAGCTTCGAAAGGGGGTGTGAGGATTTATAGTACTGAGGAGCGAAGACTCCATACCACTTGTTTAGAGACCGCAAAGAAAGCCATGGAGAGTTTTGGCTTGTTTGAATGACGTTCGTTAGCTTTTGAGGACATTGAAAGATCCCTTTCAATGTTTCCATATGTTTGTAGTTTGTGTATGAGGTGTCCGAGAACACCCGAATATGTTTAGACTATGCTCTTAGTTGTTTCCAACTGTTTTTAGAACCTTTGTGAAGCGTAGAACTGTTTTGAGTATGGTTTTGCATGTCCACAAATGTCCCGAGAACATTTGTGAACCTTGGAGAACGTTCGTCACTTTGGCTCAAGTGTGCGGCGAAAAGTGTGCGTGTCTTTTGCCTGCTTTTTCTTTCGTTTTCGACTCGGGTCGTTGAGACACTTGACTGACTAGGTGTTTTGAGCACGAGAGCTTTTGATTTTTCGTCAGGAGTTTGTGTGTCAAACTTTCACGCTCTGAGCTGGACTGAGTTGGATCATACCCTGGGTCTGGAACAAGGTTGAGCCACGCTGGCAGACGGAATCTGGGGCATAGTGTGAAGGCCGTTTCTTCAGCATAAGGCCCCTCCACGTAGTTCGCTCTCCGGCATTAATGTGAGCCATGCCAAAAGAGTGCAATCCAAAAAGGCTTTGCTGGCAACATAAAGAAGCGTCGGCGCGATTGCCAACTCTTGTAATATGGCACAATTCATAAAGGTTTGCACATGGATAGTGTGAAGTGTGTTTGGAAGCCAAATATGCTGGAGCCGAATGCAGTGAGCGAACGTAAACTCTCGAATCTCGGAGATGGAGGTGCTAGATAAAGCTACAAAAGCTAACAGCTTGCAATTTTCACAGGCATGCGTGCCTAGTACAACTTTAGTACGCGGAGTATCTGGGGAGCTGGAAGATGAGAACTGGCGACTTTGTAGCGCAACTTTAGTACGCGGAGCAAGTTGGGGAGCTGGAAGCTGAGAACTGGCGACTTTGTAGTACAACTTTAGTACGCGGATGAGTCATCTCTCGCGCCACCCGGCTCTCTTGAGAGGTTGAGAAATTCTAGCTACTTTGCTTACTCATAAGTGGCTGCCACAAAAGAGTCATCGTGACGTTAGTATGTGTGTACTTCACCTTCATGACAAACGATGCTCGCTTGGAATACACGAGTCGCTTGTCATGATCGTGGCGTCGGTTACTCTCAGGTCGCCCTGTTCGTGGAAACTTCAGTGTGAAATGTACGTTCTTCAGTTCTATTTGAACCTCTTCAGCGCTGTACTTGCACAACTAAGGTTGACGTTGCGCTGCCGTTGCATCGACGCATCTACGTCTACACCCCTCACCCCTCTACATCTACATCTTCACACGCTCACATCCGCAGATCTACATCTCCACCTCACCACACCCACACATCTGCACATCTATATCACATCTGTACATCCACTACAGATCTATATCGCACTTGCACATCCACACTGTCACTCCTTCACATCCACCCTCTCTTTCTCTCTTTCTATACATTTTTTCGACAGTGCTGGACAATTACATGTCTCGCTCTCGGCCCAACCGTCGTCTAGTTTCCTTGTTTCCCGTCAAGGTTTTTTGATTCGCCCCTGAATCCTAGTTTCAACTTCCAGGTTTTCCATCCACTTGTTCTTTTCTTGTTTTCCGTCAAGGTTTCCTGACTCATTTCTTTCTTTCCGGGCTCAGGGTTTCAAACTTTTGGCCACTGGATCCCTCCAGCCCAAAAAGGTTTGCCAGGATGGTCTGTCCACCTGGTTTCCTGACTTTGTCACCATCTAAGACACCTGCCGTAAGTACGGTTCCTGTTGGTGATAAGGGCTGTTGATATGGTAAAAGCCGGATTCCGTGTGCCATGAAACAGCATGCCTGAATTAATTTGTTGTTTTGTGGCCTTCAGATGAACTTGTGTGCATTGGTTGACATTGGATCTTTCAGTTACTTGCATTCCTGCAGCCTTTTGATTTTGACCAAACGCATCCGTCATGCAACAGCAGAAAACACAATCGAGAACCGGAACACAGCACGCCCGCCGCAACCAACAATCTGACACTGACCTTCGACCAACCTAACCTAACCGAACATGATGAATGCCCACCCGTCAAAATTATCATTCCACAACTCGGACGTCTATGTCTCGCAGAACTGGGTGAGTTTGGGGGAAACTTGGTGATCATGGACGAAGAAGCGAATGGTTGGGGTCTGAGATTCTTTGGCAAAACACGCGTAACCGGATCGCATTTGGGCGAACTGTGTTTGGTCTGTGTCGAGGGCCTCACTCTCAACCCGGGATAGCCAGGTTTCTGGCAGGTTTTATTTTCACCAAAATGTTCCAACAAATTCGGAGATTGGTTGACTTGCTTCAAGAAATGAAGGGGATCACGGTTTCCTGCCTTCAAGGCTCAGAGAAGTCTGGGCAGTGGATTTCACTGGCGATTTCATCTGTCCGGGTCATGATCGTGGCCGCCCCCATTCGTGGCGGCTTGAGACTCGTCAGGTGAAAGCACCTTCATCACAGGTGAGCACACGGGGTAACCTGTTGGATTTGGGACCGGCAGATGAAACCTCTGGGGTTCAGAGTTGTCGCTGAGCTGACAGCTTGGGGTGCTTCTGCAAAGTCATTTTGCAAAGCCAATGGCACGAACATAGATGGCCTGACTTTCTTTCAGTGTGTTTGAGGGAATAAACCAAAAGGCGTGATTCACTCGCGGCAAGTTCTTCGTTGTCCATATGAGTGTTGCATGAAAAACTGGGATGATCATCAGAAATATCGTTGTGAGTGCTAATTCGCAGGATTGGCATGGGTGTTGTGTGACACTTCTTTAAGACACAACACTGGCACATTTGCAGGAGGTGATCACTCCGCTGCATTGTCAGACGTGCACCCGGCGAACTTGACTTTTTGGGGTCAGCTTTTTAGACCCAGGCTTCAAGTTTCAACAGAAGATTGGGGTGGACACATCTGCTTGTCTGAAGAGGTGACTTCAATCCTTTCCCAACCTCGAGAAGAGCGCCTCGCCAACCTGGAGAGATTCACGTCCTCAGCTCAGTTTGGACACACTGCGAAGAATCGGCCGACTCGGGTGGACATGCGGTCTAGGGATTCAAGAGCGCCAGGTGAGTTTGGTTGATTTGGCTTTCACCTGGATTTGTGACTTACGGGGTCCCGTAGTTTGTGGCCATGGCATGGTGAAAACCCAAGAGTACCCCCAACGTGTTCCCACAAACCTTATTCACATCTCTGCTCTGGACATTTTCAGCAATTTTCCGGCATCAACCACTCTTGACTCGTGGATTTCGCTCGGTCCAAAAAAGGTAGAAGCAAGGCTGTAGGATTTTCTGCCCAACAACTTTGCTGAGCAGTTTCGGCTGTGATCACCCTGTACTTGAGTGAAGTGAATTTGCTTCTTCGATTGTTGAGCTTGCAGGCGATGCATCACCTGCAAGTTCTGTCGGAGGCCGGCGCAGGAGGACACGCCGGCGCAAGCAGTGGGTGGTGCAGGTGTAGTTGGGGGTGATGACCTCCTGAGTGAACTGGAAGTGTTTTTCGCACACGACTGGGGAAGAACAACATTTCGATGCAAGAGGATCTTTGTTTTCCACCATCCCATGTCCCGGCCAAACCTTTAGGCCAAGGTCCCACGTTTGAACACCACGTGGGGAGGTGGACACCTGGTCTGGGTAACCAGCGAGGCCTTGCAAATGTTCAAGTGTGGAAGATGAGTCCAAAGGCCTGCAGACCCCTGACCGTACGTAGCATGAGGACCTGGACTTGCGGAAGTTGATGCCAGAGCCCCAGTCTGGGCAAGGTGGGATGCCCCCAAAGAATGGCTTCTTGACCATCGCCATTAGGTTGGAGGCCTTCGCTCTTAGGTTGGAGGCCATCGCAGGACCCCTACCATTGAGCACGACGGCCCCTGGTGGACCAATTCGCATTGGGTGCTTATGCGGCATGGACCATTGACCCAGGGCCGTTTGGGTGGATCATTTCTCTTTTGGCGCTCATTGATCTCGCGTGCTCATTCCCAAGGCCTGACAGCCTTGGACGGGATCCCGATGTGTGGGAGTACACTTCTTGCCGCTTGGAATCATCGCAACGGGATGGGAGGGGTTCTTGGATTCTTGACGCATCCGTCGCCTGGAGCTTTGGTTTGGAAGAGAAAGAGGGGTTGTGGCTCAAGAAGCCAGAATGCCAGAAAGCAAGAACTTGCCACAGTCTGGTTCTCGATTTGGCCTTGAAAGTAACAAAGGTCTCGGGTGGTACCCGATTTTTCGAGCAGCAAACCACCAGTTTGGCTGGACAGTTTACACGAGCTGCGAAGTGTTTCACATGCGAACTGCAGGTGCGATTTGCTTGTGCGACTTTGCAGATGGGGAGGAGCTTCGACGCGCGCCGGGGGCGCCCACGGGGTGAGAAGGAGGGGGGGGCGCCCACGCGGGAGCATCACTTGGAAGATGTCCAGGTATTGAACCATCACTTGCGTTCTCAAGGTTGGAGGGCAGAGCGGCCTTTAAAGAGGAGCGGCCTTTAAAGGCCTCTTCTGAGTTGTTCGTTGGATGTGTCCCTCTTCCCGATGGCAAGCGGACCGGGTGTGCCACACCTGGTTCCCGTGATTTCCAGGGCGGCTTCGCGAGAGGTTCGGTTGAATTCTGGTGGTTGGGGCTAAGCGGCTAAGTTCACGCAGGGGCTGAGATATCTTCGACAAAGTACATCAAAGCACCAGAGCAAAATTGAATTAACTAATAGCTTCTTGTTACTGCTAGTAAGGCAGTTGTTACTAGAAGCGACGCACTTGTTACTAGTAGCTTCTTTTCACCATCTTGTGTCAAGGTCTTTGATTCACCAGATGTCAAGAATTGCTTTCTGTCGAGGTCGTGCCCTGGTGGACATGCCTTCCATCCAAAGCCTTTCGCTCAGTCTTGAAGCATACCATTTCAGCGCTGTGTTTTCCGAGTTGGCGAAGGCAGACCAGTTTTGCGGTGTGTCTGGTTGGGGGTTGACGACCAAACCTTGCTGCCAATTTACCTCTCCACTTGGGCCCCAAGAATGAATAGATTTCTGATGATACATGGAATTACATGGACCTTCTTTTGGGTTTACTTCGCTACTATAAGAAGGATTTCACGTGCCTGAACACTCAAAGGAAAGGGGACATCAAGTCACACAATCTGATCTGACCACAGGTCACAAAACGTGTCCAGAAGCTCTTCCTGGCGTCAAGTGACATCAGATGAAATCACCAGCGATCGCAAGCAACCATTATACAACCACCCAACATATCTGGTAGGCGATTACCCCAATTACTGTAGCAGATTTGCTCCAGACTCACCGTTCACTTTACTATTGTATCCGTGGGGTCAGTGGGGTTTGCTCTTCTTTGAGCGTAGGGGTGTGGAGCCGAGCGAGTCCGAACGGTTTCAATCGCTCCATCGGCGGGAGGGAAGCGCCCAGTGCCAAGCCCCACAAGAAGCAGAAAGGCTTCAAACGGGATTCAGCTTCATCCATCGGGGCTCTCAGAGAAGTTGTGGGCTCGGCTTCGATTCTGTTGACCTGTGGGACGTCGCGAACCGTTGCTAGGTGCCTCCGCGCTTGGATTGAACGCTCCAACGAGACGTGCCCGGTGTGCCGCTGCAAAGAAGGCGCCCGGGTGGGGGCCGTGGACCACTTTCTTCGAAGCGCTGGATCGGAAGAACCGAGGCGGCTAGGATCGACGGTGAGTGTTGGCAAGGGCTTATGGGTTGGCAGAGTCCGCAGCTCCCGAAGGGGAACGACCAGGCAAGCAGCTGTGCAGCAGGTTTTATGACTTCCAAATCTTCCAAAGCTGCAACTCGTTCCAGTGCGCTGAACGCCAGAGGTTTATGTCAATGTAGCTGCAAAATGTCCGGATCTTATAGGGAGCCCATCAGACTTTGCTATGACGATGATTGCCAAGTCTACGTCAATCTGCTGAAGAGTCACCCATCTCTTATCGATCTTATCGAAATGGCCGCGATGAACAGGAGATCCACGCCCAAGCAGGTGGAACAGTATCGTTACTAATCTTTCCCCAAACAGTGGGATTCTCTCTCTCTCTCTCTTATAGGAAAAACGACACTGGCCGCAATCTTTGGCCGCGACCTGGTGTCCGGGAGTTGTCCTCTTCTTGTCCTCCAGTTGTCCTTTGGCCATGCCCGGTGTCCTCCTGCTGTCTTCGTGCCTGTGCCTTCTGGTCCTCCTGTCCTTTGGCTGCGCTTGGCAAACCCCACGCTGGCCAAACCCTGTGTCCTCCTTGTGTCCTCGTGAACCCTGTGTCCCCTTGGTGTCCTCCTGCTGTTCTTTGGCCGCACTGGCAAACCCTGTGTCCTCATCTTGTTCCCAAAGCAGTTTATGTTGTTCTTGTCCAGTCCAGGCTTGGTGCGTTCTGTTGGCCGCGCCGCCTTGTCCGGGCCTTGTCCCCTGCTTGACCACAATGTTTTTTCTTTCTCCACTGCTTTGTTCAGGTATGTTCTCGTGTGGCTATGAATGCGATGCAGCACGTCAAATTTGATCTTATCCGCGCATTGTCTCATGACTCATGGCATATATCATATATCATATCACATATCCCATCGTTTTTTCACAAGTGATTCGGGCATCAGGAATTGTTTCTTTTTCAATCATTTTTTGTTTAAGTGCTGTTCCCCAACAGCTGGCGGCTATAGGAATATAGTTGCAGACGTTCCCACTCGAATTCAAGGAGTCGACGCTTAATGCTGACACTGTTTGGGGTTGACGCCGGCGTATTTAATTTATTATTCTTCCAGCTGAGCCCACCAGGCGACCGCTCCAAGACCGGTTCCGGTGCCAGATTCAGTGTTTGCTCCTGAGTTGGATGCGGAATTTCTACGACCTTGTGTCACCCAAGTCGTTGCCCTGTTCGTTGCACCTCCATTCCACTTGTTTTAAAAACAATTATCTCTTGCGATTGGTCCGAAACAACCTGTTTGGTCTTGAATGAGGCCGATGCCCTGGCGGAGTTTGTGACACGCCGTATGCGCAGTACGAAGGCGGGGGGAACTCTCGTGTGATGGAGCTTCTCGTGTGAACGAACTGTACAGTAGTAGCAGCTACCAAAGATGTCCTTTTAGTATTGGTTGGTTGATTAACGGAGGGGATACCCCCAAGTGTACAGCCATTCCGTACATGGTACCAAATCGACCACTCTATTATCCCACAAAAGGAGATCATTGGATATCATTGGTAGCTATTTCAGTGGTTCGAAGATAGCTATTAGAGCAGGTTATTGCGGGCCCAATAGGTTGCAGATGCTTCAAAGAAGGTCCTTTTGGAGAGCGCCTCGAAGCAGCTAACTTTGGCAGGAATTTGAGCTCGTTCGGAACGGGGGGTTTCGTTGCCACCGAAGGTTGACTTCACTGTTTCCAAAGAGAACCATCAGAGAGCAGATGAGGCCAATGGAATCCAATGGAATTGGTTCTTTGGGTTGCTTGCCGAGAAGTCTGGATGTTGAAGGTTTTGCTGGAAACAATGGAGACAAGTGGGGAAGATTCGATGAAAATAGCCATTGATGTGAAGATTCGGGTCCAACATTGCACTGGACCATCTTTGGAAAGAAATCACACTGCATTCCACAAGGCTTCACGACCTGGAGTGACCTACTGCACCAGCAGTGATGTATCACTTCGAAGTGAATCCAATATATACGACATGTTTCTTTAGATCCCCTCTTCTTCTTCCCTGGACATGTTGTTTCTTTTGACATTGTTGTTCTTTTCGTGTCTTTACTAAAGCACTCCTTCATTCAGGGGTCATTGTGGAGCCGAACTCCGTGAGACGTGTGAGTGAGCAGGAAAATGTTTTTTTTTTCATTTTTTCACTTCTTTTTGCGAGATGCAGCCATTGTACATGGGGTGGTGTCAAGAGTTCCAGTTTATGACACCTCAAAGGACTCAAAGTTGCACATGTTTCTTTATAAATAGCGTCAGGCTCTCTATAAATAGCGTCAGGCTCTTTTATAAATAGCGTCCAGAAGGGGCTGGGGCCCGACAGTTAAAGAGGCCCCAGCACCCCTTAAGTCTTTAGACAATCTTTTTTTTCTCCTTTCTGCAAACCTTGCTTTCTTTTTTCCTCAAGCAGTGTGTCCACACTAGGGGATGGGTGTTTGATCGGAGGGACTCATCGGGGCGTCCGGTTAATTCGCTTCTAGTTACAGTGCACTCATTCACCTCGAGATCTTCGAAGTGCATTTCGACTGCGCAGGCTCGCAGAATCTGCTGGGTGCTCTTCGACACTGCGCTTTCGTTGTGGTGCCGTGCACATTTTCGGACATGGTGATCACCTTTCGTGGCAGACGCAACGGAAACCTGGTCTAAAGTCGACTTCGTGACAGGTGCAGGAGATCGGAGCGGCTTTATGTCGATGTACAGATTTCGTGGCAGGTGCAGTACTTTGGACATGGTGGTGGTTAACACGTACTTTGTGTTTGTGGCAGGTGCAGTGAGTCGTGACTTTCGCGCGGTGGCTCGTATATTCAGACATCGGAGGAAGACTCGTGTTTTGGCATCTTGATGTTGTCTGAGACGGCGCCTTGGCAGGGCTGCGTGATGTGAATCTTGACGCGCAGATTTCGTGGCAGGCGCAGCACTTTGTGGACCACGAAGTGTGGACCTTGAAGTGCAGAGTTCGTGGCAGGCGCAGTACTTTGTGGACCTTGAAGTGCAGATTTTGTGGCAGGCGCAGCGCAGCGTGTTGTGAACCTTGCAGTGTGGACCTTGTGGCAGGTGTAATAGTTTGTCGACCTTGAAGTCTTGAAGTGCAGATTTGGTGGCAGGGGCAGCTCTTTGTGGACCTTGAGGTGCAGACTTCGTGGCAGGCATGGTATGTAGATTGCGTGCCAGGCGTGGGATTTTGTTGACCTTGAGGTGCAGATCTCGTGGGAAACACAGCAAATGTACTCTCATATGTGTGCTCTGACATCTCTAGACCTGTAGAACTCTGAACCTAGACCTTCAATTTTGAAAATGTGCCTGGCTTGTGCACCACCATCAACACAATCATCATCGCAATCATCACCGCCACCATCAGCATCATCACCACCACCATCATCACGGCCACATACCACCACCATCATCACCACCATCACGTCTCTTTGGAACCAATGCGTCTAGATCTCTAGACCTTCTGCTTCTACACCTCTAGACCTTAGACCTTTAAACCGACTGCTTGGGGTCTCTTGCCGTGATATTTGTTTAGATTTTTATATGCTTTAGACCTTTATCCAGATGTTTTTTTTGGATGTTCAATATTTGGTTGATTGGTTTCAGGTGGTAGTCTTTCTGCCCTTTGATCCGTTACCTGCAGATGGTTGGGCATTTGCTGAAGTGGTCCAAACCAAAAAGCCGTGGAAATCATGGGAGCGCTCTGGTGGAGGTCATGGCGCAGCTCTTTCTTCCCATGGTGTGCTTGAAGCCTGCGGTGCGGGCCCCTGGAGTGTGTTTATGGTGAAAGCAGAGGAGCAGGCTCGTATGAGCAGGGAACATGCGGTAGCGTGAGGCTGAATGTCATGTATGTTGGAGCAAAGGAAGATATGGATGAGTGTGAAACTGGGTGAATTGATACTAACATGATCTATATAAATCTGCAAAACATGTGGGTTTGTCTCACAACGAGGACGGCCGAACCTGCCATTGCTCTGGATTCGAGATGGGATGAATATGGAGGGTAGACATATTGACACTGAGCTAACAGATCTAAACCGCATTATAAATAACCTTCCAAGAACGTACACGTTCCTTTGGAGAACTGTAAATTTGAACCTTTCCTCATGTCAATGCTGCGAGTCGGCAGCCTTGAGGTTGAGGAGGAAGATGAGCCGCAGGCCGAGCGCTCAAAGATTCACTCCTTTGGGACACGCGTTTCGTCGAAGAGGCTATCGTGGAAAGAAAACATCCAACAAAAATATACCTTCCAAAACAGTCTAGACAGTGAGGGATTTCCGTGGTCAGATCGGTGCAGGCCTTCAATGGTCACGGGTACTCCCAAGTCGGATTCTTTGCAGGGTTTTGTTGGTAGCAACACTGGATCGTTCTCCAGTGTATCCACATGTATCCACTATTGATGTGTGGGATGTGCAAAAAGAAATTACTTTGTTCGCTGTGGTCACCTCTACTTTTTGGACATGTGAACCCCGTGAGGTTGTGCAGATTCATGTGAGGCAGCCTTTTTCCACAACATGTCCAAAAGGCTGAAGGTTCACCGCGCGGTGGCAGTGCGCCACGCCGAAAGACGACGAAGCTCCGGGCCTCCCAACGAGGCCCCATCTCCACAGAAGGCCGCGACCAAAGCGCGACGCCGGGTGGACCGATCTGTTGGGCCGCGGGGTTTCGTGCCACCACAATGCCCAGATGGAAAGACCTACACTGCCTGAAAGAATCGATGACGTGGAGTGGGTGAAAACCACCTGGCCATGGCATTCGATTTCATGGTCATGGTCATCCTGTTTTTTGGGGCCATGTCATTCCACACAACCATGATTCTTATTGGCGGGTCGAGGTGTCTTAGCATCTGGAGGGGGTTGAAAGGGACTTGGGACAGGATACAGGAGACCCACCGGTCCCTAGGACAATCATGCCAAGGTACGTCTGGGGAGACTTTTTGCGCTTGGGACGGGCGAAAGCTATTCATGCATCAGGGATGGCAGGGTTTGGGTGTGCACGTATCACAATTTTTAGGTTGAAGATCATTGCTAGCAGGTTGGAGGCCATGGAGACCATCGCTGTTAGGTTGGAGGCCATCGCATGCATCATAACTCATAAGAGATATGGTTAGGGCTTTTGAGGCCATTGATGACGTCAAGATGTGCGGCTCAGGGGTCGACGTTGGTGGAGATCTTCGCGGCCCGCAATGCGGCGCGGCAGGCGGGGCAAAGGTTCCATGTTGCCATGTTGCAGGTTTTTGACTATGTCTATGAATGGTATTCAATTTGGACCAAAGGAATGGACCCTAGAAGAGCTCTGTCAACCAGTGGGCTGGCGTTCCATGTTCCGGCCCGTCCAGCGCCACCGTGACGCGAACAGATCCTAGTTCATGACACGGGTGATCCAAGATTGGAGAAAGCCTCATTTTGAAGGCGCCTGCTGCGGACCGATAGGTGGTTGTTTTTATTGACAGGCTTCGCACACCGGCGATGCCCACTGGCACAGACTGCAAGCCATTCTTAGATGAGCCCAGCCCATTTTTCCTTAGATGGAGTCCCGAACCTCAGAATCAGACGCTGGCGCGCCCGCTCTTGCGCTCCTCCACTGCAAATAGGCGTCTGTTCTAGGCTGGTGCGCTCTCATAGGTGTTTTCTTTAGATGTCCTCTCATATGTGTGCTCTCCAGCACTCGAGATCTCTTGACGTCTCTGTCCACCTCTAGATGCGAGCGGTAGAACTCTAGACTACATGTGGAGTTGTAGGTCTGTAGCTAGAACTCTAGAGCTCCTCCTGGGCCACTGGGCCTAGATCTCCAGACCTCTAGAGCTTTTTGGATTTTCCTGCATCTCGAATTCAAGATCGGGACCACTAGATCTCCTAAACCTCAAGCTCTATATGGATCTCTAGATCTCAAGAGTAGTCTCAAGAAACTTTGCATCTTTGGATCTCGATCTCTACATCTCTGCCATTTTTCGAAGGAAAAGGCGGCCACCCATGTAAAGAAAGATGCCACAGGGTGTGCAGTCCTCAAGACGGGCTCATTTTTCAACAAAAATACAGGGAACCCTGGATCAAGAAACAACAAAAACCTCTATCAAAGCATGCGCTGCACAGAAACCTTGGGAAACATCAGTATATCAGTAAATCCTGCATCGGCACAAGCAAACATGAGAAAGACACACGACGAACCTAGGATAAGACCGCGGTAAACACGAAGGAACACCTTTGCATACCTTCAAAAAAGCGCGCGAAAAAACCTGGAAGGCGGCGTCGAGATAATGCGTACTGAAATTGAATGCCACATGCCGCACGCCCACCTAGGTATGAAAGCTTAAGAGTACCACGAGTACAGGAAGTAGTGCAGTCTGAACATGAAAGCCTCTATGACAATGAATCCCAAAGATCTCAAAGTGCACAAAGTTCTCGAAAGTTCGCGAAAAAAGAAAGCGAGAATCGACGACTGCACATCTGCAGACCTGAAACATCCTGCAGCAGCCCGAGGACCTCTACGATGGGAGAATGGCTAAGACATTCACTCAGGCGCAGGTATGCCCAGTTGATCAGACTCGGTATCCCACGACTGCGTTGAGTGAGGGTCCCCTGCTGCTGCTGAAAAACAAAACCAAACCAAATGAACGGATTCCCTGTCACTCCAAGGTTTCACACACACACACACCCTAAAAGGGGAGGCGATAGCCTCAAGCAAAAGATTCCACACGCCCCCGTGGAGGAGGGCCAGAATTTAAAGCTAGGGTCCAGACTAAGGTGTAGGCGCGCAAAGGATGAAGACATGAGAGGAAGACAAGACAAGACAGTGTAGGTGCAAGTGACCAGGAACAGCCAGATGAGCCACACCTCCTTATAACAACCTGGGCGACCTCAGACCTGGGTTTCGTGTACGGGTGCACGTGCGAACTAAGGGTCCGACCAGTATATGCGCAAAAGAGAAAAAGGATGAGATGACGAAACCTGAGGCCAGGAGAGACATGAAAGAGGAAAAAAGTGTGTTGGGGGGAAAAAAGATGAACGAGTGGGAACCAAATGAAAGGGCCCGCCTCATTTGAACAGGCCTGGGTGGAAGTAGCCTAATTTATGTACATGCTGTGTGTGCACCAAAGCCTCCGACAGACTCCACTGAGTCTCTTGTGCCATGCCAAATATTGCGGGCGACTTGAGTCCGCCGGGGGGGCACTCTTCGGGCTCACCCCGGGCTCCCACGAAGGGGAGACACACTCGAGGTAATGCGTATTGAAATTGAATGCCACATGCCGCACGCCCACCTAGGTATGAAAGCTTAAGAGTACCAGGAGTACAGGAAATAGTGCAGTCTGAACATGAAAGCCTCTATGACAATGAATCCCAAAGATCTTAAAGTGCACAAAGTTCTCGAAAGTTCGCGAAAAAAGAAAGCGAGAATCGACGACTGCACATTTGCAGGCCTGAGTCATCCTGCAACAGCCCGAGGACATCTACAATTGGAGAATGGCAAAAACATTCACTCAGGTGCAGGTATGCCCAGTTCATCAGACTCGGTATCCCATGATTGGGGTAGCTTCGTTGAGTGCGGTCCCACAATCACGCTGCACTCCCCTGCTGAAAACAAAATCAACTCAAATCAACGGCTTCCCTGTGACTCCAACACGCAGGCTGAGTGAGTGGGGTCGGCGGATTCTTTTCAGAAATGGACGTCATCTCCGGACTCCGGAGCCAGTTTTCCATGAGCGCACGTTGAGAAGTCCCATGTTCGTTCACCTCCTGTAGTCATATTGCTGGAGTTTTATCCCAAACACGGACAGCGCAAGACATGGAAACCTTGGAAACAATGGAATAGGTTCCGTTTCCAGAAAAGGATGCAGCCTGAACCGCTTTTGGCCCTGCCTCAGGCGGAGCGGCCTCCGGGTGTGGCCTCGCCGCGGAAGTGGCCCGGAAGCAGCAAGGGAAGGTGAACAATTGTGAGAAGGGGTTCCTGGGAGTTAGAGTTGCCATGAGGGACACCCATGAAACACTTGAAAGAACAGACTTGGGTGTTCGATGACAATAGTCTTCAATATTTTTTTTTGGTTTCGAGTCAAACACACATAAAACAGTATTGCTCAAGGACTGCTTGCAGCAGAACCCTGGAATGGTTGTTTGTCCACATGATCCACCAGAGGCCGACCATCAATTCTGCCGAGGTCTCCCCGGCGTGGCCCATCGCCTAAAGGGCGAACACGACGCCTGAAGAAGTGACTTGTTTTAGTTTGAAGGATTTGTTTCGCTCTTCAGTGCTGTCCAATATGTTTTGTTTTTTGTTTTGTTCTGGGCGCAGTTCGTTCAGTTCTGAGTTCTTCTGAGTGCTTGTTGGGCGTGAAATGGAGGTTTGCCGCAGGCGGTGTTGAGGTTTTGAAAGGAAAAGGTGAAGGAAGTGGAAGTGGTAAAGATTGCCACTTGAGCTTTTGTACATATGCTGCATGGGCCTGGGCCTGCAAAGAATATAAAGTCCATGGCCCCTGGCAGTATTTAGCAAGTCTGGGCCTTTTTTCGTTGTTGACGGGGTCTTTTGCAGGTCACAATCCTTGCTTTACCTATGTAGCCACACAGCGCGAGCTTCAAATCCTGAAGCTAGATCAGATCTTAAGAGCTGTGCCATGAAAAGCGCTGGGACCTTCCGACCTTCCTCAGCTCCAAGTCTGTTTGACTGGTGTCGTTCTCAAGCTACACCCGACGCCCTGGGCTCAAGAGACGCCTCGTGCACCGAGTTTTCTGTGCGATTGGTCGCTGCGAAAGACCTCCCCGGGGGCGTTCCCCGGCCATGTTTGCCCCGCCGTCGTGAGGGGGCAATTCGGCCGTGAAGGGGGCGCAGTTCTGCGCTGTGCCATGGCGACCCGGGCGATGCTGAGTGCCAAGACCTACACGGCCAGTATGTCAGCTTTAGCACAAAAGTTGGCATGGAGGGAGGTGATTGCTCTCTTTGCCAGCATGAAGGAACAATCCATTCAGGCCGATGCCTATAGCTTTAGCGTCGTGACCTGGCAGCCAACCTTGGTGGCAACCGTCGGCGGGATGCTCGCGCCGCAGGACGTGACGGCTTCATAGGGCTTCAGGTTGTCAGGTGACGGACCACGGAGTCCTTTCTTAAACAGTTGTTGGGCTTGCTTCAATTTTCAACTGGGATCCAACAAGCCATCCTGCAAAGGACACAGTGGTACAAGAAACGAGCCGCAGGAGGTTTCCAGAAGCATGACACCTTTGACTGTCGGTGAAAGATGTGTTCTTGAGTCCCTGCCAAACGGCCCAACCACGGGATTTTCAGGATTCGGTCTGGGACGGTCTGGGAACATTCCTCCGAAAGTGTCTCCGTGATTTACGAGATATCATTCATCTGAGTGAACACCCCGCTGGCTTTGACTAAACTGAAACACCAAGGTAAGTAGTGCTTGCGAGAAGGCGAGCCAGTGGTCTTTGGCCTTGGACACCTTTATCCAGATGCGAACCGAGGGTCTGGTGCCCAACGTGGTGAATTTCGCTGGCGCCATGAGCGCGTGTGGCCGTGCGGCGCGTTGGCGTATGGCCCTGTCGTTGATGAAGGAGCTGCCAGGGCTGCAGCTGGAAGCCGATGCTGCCGTGTACAACTCTCTGATCAGCGCTTGTAGTCGAGCCAGCGAATGGCGAGAATCCCTAAGGCTTTTCAAAAGAATGGAGCGGGGTTTGGGTCCCAAGCCCACCCTGGTGACCTATGGTGCGCTGGCCAGCGCTTTGGAGAAAGGTGAGCAGTGGCCGGAGGCCCTTCTGCTGTTGGAGCAGCTGCCAGAGCCACGGACGGTCAAGGGGCACGCAAGCCTGGTCATTGCCTTCAATACTGTAATAAGCGCGTGTGAGAAGGCCTGGCGTGGCCGTTCGCATTGCAAGTCTTTCAGAGGATGGAGGAAAAAAAGTTGAAGCCAACGACCATCACTTGGAATGCTCTCCTGTCCGCTATCCGAAGAGCAGAATCATGGCAAACATCACTGCACCTCTTTCGACAAATGCAAGCGGAGGATGTGACTCCCATACTGCACACCTACAACATCAGCATCAGCTCCTGTCACACGGTCGATGCATGGCCATACGCGCTGGCATTGATGGAGGAAGCACGACAGTGTCAATCGCTTTTTCCGGATGACGTCACTTATTTCCACTTGATCTCCACAGCCTGCTCGTCTGTGGCGTGGCAACCGGCTTTGTGCTTTCTGGCTGCAGTGAAGGACGAAGGCTATGAAGTTGAACCCATGAGCTATAAACAAGTCTTCACTGCCTGCGATCGGGCCAGCTGCTGGACTGCTGCCTTGGCGCTGGTGGAAGAAGCCGCGTCTTGGCTGGACCGGTGACCGGATGGGGGAGGTTTCGATTGCAGAGCATCGATTGTTGAAGATTCGAGGTCGAGTGCATGAGGACTATAGTAGGACCAAGGTGTGAAGATCTATTTGGGGCCTATTAGGGGTTGTATGGGTCAGCGAGAGACGTTCTTTTTTTTGCATTCTGATCTGTGTTTTGTCGCCCGGAATTTTGAGATAGCATCAGTCTACAGAAGGAGTGAAGGGGTCAACAAGGGAAACCTGTAGTGCGAAAGTCGAAAGATTAGAAGTGTGTGAGAGAGGTCTGCAGGTTCCCAACGGTTTAAGACTAGTTCTCAAGCTCATGCAAGCCTTTCTTGACAATTAAGTATTTGGTGTTGGCCGGAGTGACGAAACAGCAAGATTCAGAGTTTCGTAGTTGGAGCACTTACTCCACTGATCAAAGCACGCCACGCGGAAAGCACCCTTTTGCAATTGCATGTCCTCTGCCGTGGACCATTCAACTGAGGCACAAGCTGAGGAAGCTCCAGCTTCGTCTCAACATGTGAGAGATATGCAGAGGAACCTGGTTGGCCTCCTTCCTTCGGTTCGACCTGAACAAGGTGGTCACCTCGCGGAGGCCGCGCGCTTTTCCGCGAACAAGCCGAGCGACATGTCTGCTCGGTTTTCGCGATGTTTGGTGCATTTGCCGATTTTTACGGCATTCCATGGTGTTGGATTGGTTCCTCAAAAGAAGTAGTTCTGCAGTTCGCCATCGATGTGTCACTCTAAACCCTTCCTACCTGGTTGCGAGGCTCTTCAGCTTTTGCGCTCGCTGGTTGAAGCCGGTGCCGACCCCAGCTCTGGGTGTCCCTCTGAGTGGGAAGAATGTTTCGAAGGACACTTCTGGCCAACTCACTGGGGCGTTTTGGGCTGCTATTAGGTTGGAGGCCATCGCTTCTAGGTTGGAGGCCATCTCTATTAGACATTGTTTGCGGATGCTTGGCAGGTGTGTGCCAGGTGTGGAAGCCGACAGAGCGCTTTACGGCCGACTTGTGTGGGAACCTAGACGTGTCCGTTGAGGGGTGGGTGTAGAGGGAGGGTGGGAGCAATGTGTGGGAGATATTGAGCACATCGTGCTTCGGAGCACATGGCAAAAATATGTTTCTAAGACTCTAAGATGCAAGTGTTCACGTTAAAGTCAATACACTCCTTGCTGGTCTCGCTTGTCTCAAGAGACTGGCCGGGCCATTTTCGTGCGCAATGCATGGACTACACGAAGATGAACACCAAGGCTTTGCCTGAAGTTCAAGGATCCGGAAGCACAATAGATCATCGGGAAAGAAGGTCAGTTCAGGGGGTCAGCTGCATGGTGATTTTAAGGTATTCTTAGTATCTTTTAGTCAGTATCCCTGGTGAGCACTTGACGAAACACTCTTGATTTGTTTCCGATGATGGGATTGTTGTTTTGCGCACATGACACAAATAAAGAGTGAAAATCGAAACACCCTTCGAACTCGACTGGTTAGAGATCTTGCGACGGAGAATCGCAGATTGCATTGGTGGCACCGGGCGAATTCACCGCATCTTTCATATTTACCGACTCCATGCGCGTGGCATGTGGGTCCGTTTGCATGCGTTGGAGTGTCATTGGGGGTTTGGTCTTCCTGGTCTTCCTATTGGAGCAGTGCAATCTGATGGTGATGATCTCAGTGTTGGTCCAGTGTTTTTGGAGGCACTGCGCTGTTTCAGCTCAGGCATGGCTTTACGACAGATGAGGCTGCTGTAGTGGTTATGCTTGCGATCTTCGAGATGATTGAGGCAGAATGGTTCGGAATCCTTGCTCCATCCCAACCCAAACGTTTTGGCTCATCCAAGCTCCGTACTCCGTATGCATCATTCGGTGTTTCTTTGGGCCGGCGGATCAAAATCTACAACATCTACCACTCCAGTGGGGAAGTCCAAGCAGGAAGTGTGTAGGTCTAGGCGTGAACCACCGCAGCCACCGCTCGGGAAGCCTGCAGGGAGCGCACGTGACGCCCGCGACGGGTCCTGCCGTGGGAGCAGATGCATCAAGCGATCTGGTTTTGATCACCGGGCGAAGGAGAGCGATCTGGAGTCTGAGCAGTGTTCAAAGCGTACAGCAGGAGCGTACAACAATTATAAAGATATAATATATATATATAGTTAGATGATGTTTCATGAGTGATGTTTTGTGAGAGCCAGCTTGCACCATGTAATAAGCGTGATGTATGTTGTTTGCGCTGCTCCAGCACTTGCGGACGCTCATCGCCCGTCCGATGTCGCGCGCTCGATGGGCGACGCCGGCGTGGCACGCGCAGATGGCGTGAGGTGAAGGGGCAGGTTTGATGAACTCACAAGGGAAAACCACACTTGACATGGACAAAGCACACATGAAGAGCACTCTGTACTTTCAAAGCAAACTCAAGCCACACTTCATCAGCAAACTTGGAGAAGACGCGTGAAAACCATGCGCTTGAGACCGGACCAAGACCGCGCTTGAAGAACACACGTGGTAAGGAACGTGGTCTCCTAAAACCTTCGTAGTGCTTGCGCAAGGAACAGGTTTTCACACTCGGGATACAAGTACGTCCGACATGAATGCGTCCGACATGAATGCCGCATGTCGCACGCCAACCTAGGTGAGAAAAGGCCTTTATAAACCATTTAGTATGTGAGACGGTCTACACACCAAGATGTTTGAAAGCTGAGTCTCACAACAAGGAAAATGAAAGTCAAACATTGATCCAAGTCTGCGGAGTTTATTAACACTTTACTGCAAACCGGTGCAAAGAAACGAACGATTTTGTCCCAGGACGGAGTGTCAAGTTATCACCGCAGGTATGCCGGACTGATCAGGTCTGCTTTCAACAGCAATGGTGCTCCTGCGCTCTGCCGAAAAATCAACATTCAAACACGTCAAAGGGACAGCAAGTACAGATCTGCTGCGTGAGGAACAACATGTGCACACAATCCAAGGAAAGACGTGATGTCACTTCCATTTTTATTGGAAACATATGTTTCTTGCGGTCCAAAGCTCTTGGGGCGCTTTTGACGTATGAGCTTTGTACTATCCGCCGATCCGCTGACGCACACCGGTTGATTGTTTGACTTTGGCAGGATCCATTCAGAGCCTTCGGATGCCTCAGTTCAAGATGCCGCGCCTTGGCTCGAGTTTGCAATACGTGCGTGTTGGGACATGTTGGGACGTGTTGGTCCTAAGAAAACTCCGGGCCAAGGTTGTTCCATGCCACTTATTGTGAAATATCATCACATTTGTGGGTTAACCATGTGCATACTGGTGGCGGATATTACTGTACCTAAGTCATTGTTATTGTTTTGGCGATTGATCGGTCAGTCTAGTCGCAGTTCTGCTTGCATAGAAACGATCTGACCATTTGTCTCCTTTTGTCTCCCCCGGCTCTTCTGAATTCCGGGCTGAGATGAATTTGCTTTGCCTTCCATTGTCTCCACATGATAGGCTCAAAAACTTGGGCATCTCACTCTAAGGCTTGCATATCGCAGAATCATGTCAGCCCAGCAACCAGAAGAGCCATGGCAGACAAAAGGAGGCAAAGGAGCATGGCTCTTCTGGATGATTGGCTGAGAGGATTCTGCTTTGGGGCTTCTCTAGATGCTCGACTGAGATGATTGTGCTTTGTCTCCGAGTCTTCCTTTTGTCTCCCAGGGCTCTTCTGGTTGCTGGGCTGACATGATTCTGCTTTGTCTTCCTTTGTTTCGCATAACTCTTCTGCTGCTGGGCTGAGACGATTTTGCTTTGTCTCCCTTTCTTGCTCGTGGCTCTTCTAGAGATGATTCTGCTTTGTCCGCCCTGTCTCCCATAGCTCTTCTGGATGCTGGCTGACATGACTCTGCTTTGTGTTGCTTTGTCCCGTTTTGCCCTCTGGCTCCCTGTGGCTCTTCTAATTGCTGGGATGACTCTGCTTTGTCCCCCTTTGTCTTCCATGGCTTTTCTGGATGCTTTCTGCCCCCTGGTGTCCCATGGCTTTTCTGCTTGGATGTTTAAAACATGCTGAAACCACGCCTGTAGTTTTCTACATTGGGAATGGCCCGGCTTGAGCGCTTTTGTTTCACTGGGGTGGGGCCCGGTGGGGCACTGAAAAGTGACACACAACCAGGTGCTGCTGTCCGGGGTTGGGGCAAGCAGACTTCTGGCAAAACGTCGTCTTCATGGATATCTTGCTGCATAGTGTGGTTGCATCCTGTGCTGCACCCATGCAAATCTGACATGTAGGTAGATGTCTACAGACCTTCGAGGTTCCCAACGGTTACGACGGCCAATTGGTGGACACCTCAAGGTGGTTTGGGTGACGTAGGGACGCCGCCGTGGAAACCCGCTGGCCGAGGTCTTTAAGCTCATGGAGGACGGGGAAGTGACGGGAAGTGATCCTTTCGCACTGAACTCGTTGTCAGTAGAACTCTGGTTGTCATGAACACCGCATTTCACAGGTTGACCGCAACAAAGCTATTAGCTTAACAGAGAAAGCCACAGTTTGGTGCCATTGACCAGTTCAGGCAGAAACACCATATGAAACACCCACGTCGCCATCATTTGACCCCACACCATCATTTTGCATCGGCTTTGTCCTGACCAGACACCCACGCCGTGTGGCTTTTCGACGGCTGTTCAAGGGCCAGACTCGGCTGTGAGGACTTGAAAGACCTTGGGGGGTTGGAGGTAGACCGGAGCTGAAGCAGCATCCACAAGATCTCCCCGGTGGGAGCCAACCCTCCCAAACCTGGCACGGCATCCCCATCGAGGAAGATCGAGGCATCCCTCCCTCTCTGCTGTGGAGCGTTGCCGCAGCGAGCTGGTGCGAACGGAGTCCACGGAATCCAGGAGTTGAAGATCGCCTGCCGCCCCGACCGACCCGGGCGCGCCGGGAGCCTCGACACAAGAAAGGACCCGGGCGCAGTGGGCCATGGGAGCATGGCAGGTGGACAAATCCAACAGTTTTGTTCGTATTGACTTTCCTCGCTCTCGCGTTTGTTTTCGGATGTTTTTGCAGCTGGTTTTGTAGAATCTCCAAGCATCAGTTGAGCTAGTTGCATGAGCCTAATTCAGCTGAAGCATGTGCACGTGAGTCCAAAAACTGTTTGCATCTTGAAAGAAGTCACGTTGGGAATCATCCCAGGACTTGAATGGACTTGAGAGGTTCTGGGAAGTCGAAGGTCAAAACAGAGTCCAACAGTCAAATAGTTTGGAACCACCTCTAGCTGCTTCGCCAGGTCCGTGTGCCAGCACTGATCACCCAGCTGCTGGGTCCTGCAGTTGGAAAAGTCCCCAGCCCCGGTGAGAGCAGGTGGCTCAGGTCTGCTGAGGTGGGTTTTCAGGGTTTCCACGTTGGTCAGATGTCCCGAACACCTTTCGTTTGGGGAGATCTTTCGTGCAGGCCGGGAGGTCATCCTGTAAAGCCTGGCTTTTGGACTTTGGACCTGTTGAGTTTGTCTTTGGACCAAAGATCCTCCAGGGTATTAGTTTAGGCTTTCTTTTTGGTTTGTGCGTTGGGAATCACTGGCTGTGCATGGTTCCATGCTTGAGCTTTGACCTGTGCCCTCCACAGGTCAGAGCAAGACCTCAGTAATAGCATCCCATTTGCTTCAGCTTCAATATAGGTGAAAGGGCCAATGAGCAAAAAACACTTAGAAGCCGAGAATCTATGCACTTCTAGCATCCCATGCAAAGCTTTGCGTTACATATTACTTCAGAGCCTAGCTTGAAGCTTCAGAAAGAGCTTTGGAGCAAATCCTACAAACACAGCAACAACAAGTATATAGATTGAAGCTGCTTAGTTCAGAAGGGTCCCACACCAGCCACGGCAGCAACAAGATGTGTTCCTTGACGCGCAAGACAGAATCACACGCTTTACACCATGCATGGAGCTTTAGCGTCAGAAGGTGCTTTCTGACCTGAAGGAGGGCCGGGAAAACCGCTCGGAGCGGCGAGCACGAGCGGCACTAGAGTGACACTCCGACCGCCGTCCATGGGTGTCGTGTGTTTCTTTTCTTTATTTTCTGCAGGAAGCGACCGTGGGAGTGGCGATGATGGCTCAAGGCACGTTTCCTGTTTGGGTGCCGGTGTTTGGGTGGAGGTCCTGGAACAACCGAACACATCTCATGCACTTTCTGAAAGCGCACTAGCCAGCTATGAGGTGCCACGGCAATGTATACTTTCGACCAACTCTTGAGACCCTTCAACTCGCCTGAGACCCCCAGAGAAGAGACGTGGACACCTTTTTGGAATGCCTCAATGCCTGGGCTTTGCCTGTTCCTCCCCAGAAAGACCTCGATCGCCTTGAAACGACTTCGGCCGGTTCCACTTGGGTTCCTCGACGTCTGACGTCCCAACCCAACAGACCGTCCGGGCCTGTTCCGCTGGAGCGCCAGGACAGCGATCCCCGCCCCTGGCAGCGAAACGCCGAAGTGGACCAGCTGGGGACCGAGAAAAAATTATTTTCAGGAGGTTTCACATGGGACAGCCACAGGATTTGAGGCAATCTGAGTACTTTGTGCCATATCAGTTTTGGGGGTAGTGTTGGGAGCTTGAAACGTCATGAGCTACATGTGTTTTTTCTTTTGTCTGACCGCGATTCATCAGCATATGTGAGCATTATATATTATATATATAGTACTTTAAACCCGCAGTGTTGGGTGTGAAGCTTCGCTTGTAGACTTGTAGTCACATGGGTTTGCCGTTCATGCACGGTCGCAGAAGAAATTCTGAGGTGCAAGCTGTCCACAGTCCGCCCAGTGTGAAACTCGGTGGATCTCAGTGCTCAGCTAGCCACTCTGTTTTCCAGAACCCTCGCTTGTCAGATTCAGGGTGTATCCCCATCTTAACAATGAAAGGGAGACAACAAGGTTAAAATCATCTTCATCCACTGAAATAGACTGGTCCAGCATATAAAGGACTAGACGACAGGGTGGCCCGAAAGCACAGCAGGCGATGACAGAAGCTAATGATGAGCGTGAGGATGTAATGACGATGATAGTGATGCAGCGATGATGATCATGATGAGCAGGATGATGATGACAAGTGACAATGATACGCATGACAGAGGTCCGCCATCACTGGTAATGAATCACAGCAGCACGATGTCCTTTTAAAATGCGTTTTAGAAAAGAAGCGTTGCATTGTGCTGCAGACAACTTCTGTTCGCAGAGTACCATGTGCTGGGTATAAGGGCAACCATTGGGCAGGGCGCCAAGCCGCCGTGAACCCGTGGATCTCCAATTCAAGGATCGCGATCGAAAATCAAGGTGGAAGTTGACAACGTGTAGAACTCTGGTCGAAAATCAAGGTGAAGTTGTCAAAGTGTGTAGTCGTTTCAAATCAAAGTGGAGGTTGCCAAAGTGTGTCACTGTCAGCTCCTGGAGCTGTGGCATCAGAGCTGGTAACTGGTAACTCTTTGTAGTCCAACTGCACTATGGGAGCTGTGGCCTCATAACTGGCAACGTTGTGATCAGTATATACAAATCTAGAACGGGACGCAGCTCTGGGAGCTTGGGCTCAGAACTGGCACCCGAGGCTTGGTGTTGCGCTGTTGTATCTGCACCGTGTGGCCAAAATACGATGTCGCTGTGCCAGGCGGCTTTGCGCGGCAAAGTGTCGCTGGGCAGCGGGATGATCGGCGGTGTCCACAAGGCATGGGCATGGTGTTACATGGCATGCTCGATGAAGCTATGGCGGAGGTGTATGTGTTGGGCATTATACAACAGGTGCAACAGTTGCACACGTCGAGCACGTCCCACTTGACGCGCCATTTCCAACTACAGTTGTGCACTTTTACACACACCGCCGCCGTGATTTTGGACGACAGTTACCCTCAAGGGACCTGCAAGTGTCTGGCAAAAAGTCCTTGGGAGGCGCTGGAAATCGGGTTCACAGCAGTGGCGCAAGGAATCTGTTTGAAGTTCTTTGCTTTGCTGCTCAGCTGTCAGCAGTTTCTCACATCTGTTTTCGCAACAGTGGCGCGCAGTTTTTTCAGCCTTGCTGCTGAGTCTCTCGCCATTGTTTTCGCAACAGTGGCGCAAGGAGTATGTTGAAGCTTTTTGGTTTTTGCTGCTCAACTGTCTTCAACTTCAATACCTGCGTGTGCCCATGAGCAACTCCAAGACCTGAAGCGGCAGCGTGTGCTCTTGCGACAGCAAGCAAAAAATGCAAGCAAGAACCCCAAGCCAGAGAGCAAGAAGCTGGCGAAGTTGAAGAAGACGGCTTTGAAGCTGTCTTCGGAGGACTTGCAAGAACTTGTGGCATTGAAGGCCGGAGCAGCAGCTGGTTCATAGGTGCAACCTCGGAGATGCGCTTTACTCCACTGAGCGCAGCGCGGGCCGTTTCTGAGGCTGCTGTCTTTGTTTCATAGGAGCCAAAGACGAGAAGCTGTTGCAAGTCTTCACCCACAGCTGTTTTGAAAGGAGCAAGCCTGCAATGCCGAGGCAGCTCGTGATTTTGCAAGTGAGGTTCAGCCTTGGACTCCAATAGGCCCACCACCAGCAACCCACCCACTTGTTGCGCATGCTCGAGATAACTGTGGTAATTGGAAGTGACGCCAGTCAGTGTGGGCTTTTGGGTTGAAAGCGGCGGGTGCTCACAAACGCCAAGCAGGTTGCTTTTTCCCGACAGCGCCTGCGAAGGGTTCTTCGTAAAAAACAGCTGCAGAACTACACCTCCTCTACATCTTCACATCTTCACCTCTGCGTAATCACGTTCTCATCTATATCTCTGCTCATCTTCACATCTGCACATTTACATCTCTGCTCATCTTCACATCCTCACATCTTCACCTCTCGCTCTTCTTAACTTTCTCTCTTGAGGCCGGGGGCAGTGCCGCCGCACCGCCACGAAACGCAACCCTCTGCGGAGATCGTGCGTGTCGGATGCGCGAAATGCAGGCGAGAGTGCGATGTGGTTTTGTCCGGCGCAACCCTCTGCGGAGATCGTGCGTGTCGGATGCGCGAAATGCAGGCGAGAGTGCGATTTGGTTGTGTCCGGCGCAACCCTCTGCGGAGATCGTGCGTGTCGAGTGCACGAAATGCATTTATGGAGGAAGTCTCGTACGAAACGCCGCAGATCTACCTCTATGTGGGTCGTAGGCGCATTCCGGATTACTGGTGGGCAGCGATGCACACGCTCCGAACCTCACTGTCTGCCAGCGCGCCCCTGGGTGTAAACCGGCTCCTTGGACCTTCAACAGACAAGCTCGTCGCGAGGGACGCGCAGCAATCCATTTCGCAACCGACAATCTGCATAGCCAACAAGCGCCGGTGGTCGAGAGTGCAGTAGAGGTCGCTGCGACCGGGCCGTGCGAGGTTCAGCGCAAAATTCGGGCGCGCGCTGGGATCGAGCTCCCCCGAATCTATTTGACACACGCACTCCTCAAGACTGGATCCATCTTTAAATTTGGCAGAGACGTTGGCCTGCAAGAACCGAAGCTTGTGCAATGGAATGCGGTGGAACCCATTCACCAAATCCAGGGTCATTGCCCTTTCTTCGTCGCATTTATATCGCCCACACATCTCCACATCTATATCGCACCTGCGCATCCACACTGTCACTCCTTCGCATCCACCCTCTCTTTCTTTCTACGTATCTTTTCTCTCACCTCTGTACACGTACATCTTCGCACGCTCACATCTGCAGATCTACCGCTCCACCTCCACACATCTGCGCATCTATATCACACCTGCGCATCCACACTGTCACTCCTTCACATCCGCCCTCTCTTTCTCTTTTTCTATATATCTTTTTGACAGTGCTGGACAATCACATGTCTTGCTCTCGGACCAACTGAAGAGTTTGAGCCTGGAGCTGTGTCGAGCGATGACGTCACCGTTGCGGTTGGAGCCTTATTTGGAGTCAGTGCTGCAAGGCAAGACATTTCCATAAAGCCCTACAGAATTTGGAGAATACCTGTTTTTCACGACATTGAACAGTGATTGCGCAAACAATGCCTTAAGGTGTCGGTGGAGGATGGATGGAGGATGCGCTCCGTGCTTGGAGTGTGTGGACCTTGGACGTTTGCGTGGAGCTAGTGAAGGCATTGCAAGTTTGAATGGGTACAGGTTGCGAGCAGAACATGCTTGCGGAACAAGCTTTTGGTTCGAGTCACTTACCCGGGACGCGCATACCTATAGTAGCGCGGTGACTGTTCTATTGTTGGAAGGGACTGTCCGCGATAATGGACCAGCCACCGCGTGCGTCACAGGGCTGCGATGGGAAGAGTTCCGCAACAATGCCGTGAACCAGGGAGCGGAATGGCTTCGTGGACGTTTACAAGAGTTGGGAGCGGTAGAGCTGCGCAGTGTAGCTGTTGCCGGAGGCATCAGAGCGAGGATAGGCGACAGATGGCTGCCGGTTGCGCAACTGCGCTCTGCGTTGATGGAAGCCTTGGCGCGAACAGAGCAGGCCCAGTCGTAGCGTTTTGGGTATATAGGTATGTGTTTCCAAGGTGGCATGGTATGGTATATGTTACTTGGGCATTTTCAAGAGGCATACTTCCACAGGTGGTTCCCAACAGACACCTAAACTTTCCTTGAAGATTCCTTTCATGAATTTAACGTGACCCTAGTTTTGTTCGCATATTCCCCCTCCCTTCCCCCCGAGTCGTCCAGGCACTTGTTCCAGGTATGTTTCGACGTTTCAGTGCGCTTAAAAACCGTGCAGATTCTTCTATACCCAACCCCAAAAAAGCCCTAAGCCACTGTGATTTTCTTTAGACAACTAGGGTGAACCTTCCCAAGCCAAGCCGGTCCCGCTTGGCCCCCGTGCACCGCACGTCGCCGCCGTGCGGCCGACAGGAACTGCCGCCGCGCTTGCGCCGCAACCAGGAGCCTCAGCCCGAGCTTGTTCCCCCTGTCACGAGAATCGACGGGTCCTCTGTTTTTTGTTTTTTGGGGGGCCACTCTGGAGGAAAATGCAACTCCCCAAAGCTCCACCAGTTCCACCAGTTCGTGCGGGCCAAAGCTGCGCTGGTGTCGTCTGGTGTCCAGACACTTTTCCATGATTTGAATGGTCTTCACTGTCTTGACTGTCTTCACGGCCTCCCTCAATTGCTCACTGAGCTGCTCGTTGCCGCTCGTGAGGAGCATGCCATTCGCGTAAGCACAAAGACTCGGTGGTGCCAGTGAGCATGGTTCGCGTGAGAAAGCAGCCTAGACGGCGCCTCTGAGAGCCATCAGGAGCCTCTGAGAGTTGGGGAGACAGCTCGGTGATCCAGCGTTTACGTACATGTTTTCCATCTTGTGTGGGGCCTCAGGAACCTGAAGCAGGCAGGCAACTCCGACCCTTCTTCGGCCACCTTGTGCTGCCTGCCCAGCAGCTCCACACACACACACACACGTGTGTCGCGTGTGTCGGTTTCTGCAGAAAAACTCTATAGGCCTCAGGTTTCGGGAGACATTGAGCTGTGACCCCGCCGAGTGCAACCTAGGTTCTCCTTTCTTTCAAAAATCAGTTTGCCCCAATCGTTTAAAATCCGATGCCCGAGGCCATCCAAAGCCCCAAAGCCATCCGGCGCCCCAAAACGAAGCGCATCGCTTTTCTGTGAGACCGAAGGGCCGGTCGAAGAGGTTAACTGAACGGCGCGGGCGCGAAATGCGGGCGAGAGTGTGTTTTGGCCTGGTCTGGGGCAACCCTCTGCGGAGATCGTGCGTGTCGAGTGCGTGAAACGCAGGCAAGAGTGCGTTTTGGATTTGGCGCGGGCAACCCTCTGCGGAGATCGCGCGTGTCGAGTGCGCGAAATGCAGGCGAGAGTGCGTTTTGGATTTGGCACGGGCAACCCTCTGCAGAGATCGTGCGTGTCGAGCGCGCGAAGTGCAGGCGAGAGTGCGTTTTGGCCCGGTCGCGGGCAACCCTCCGCGGAGATCGCTCGCGTCGACTTTGTAGTACAACTTTAGTGCGCGCAGCAATCTGTGGAGCTAGAAGCTGAGAACTGGCGACTTTGTAGTACAACTTTAGTACGCGGAGCAAACTGTGGAGCCGGAAGCTGAGAACTGGCGATTTTGTAGTGGAACTTTAGTACACGGAGCAAACTGTGGAGCTGGAAGCTGAGAACTGGCGATTTTGTAGT